GCTTTCTTAAAATTGCGCCGAGATGCTTTAGAAAAGACATGGTATTTGTAAAATAATCCATGTCATAAAAATTTTAATCAACAGAATCAAAAGTTTCATCATCATTGAAACTGAAAAGAAAACTCGACTCGGAGAAGAAGTAATTTTAGAATAACTTAAAACGGCTGAATTGAAATATCAATGTTGTTAGATATATTTTTTCTTTATCAACACGCAAAAGCAGTTGTCATGAATATTCAGCTAGGGTAAGGGAGAAGACTTGCAAGTGATAGTTGCTAGAGCGATGTCTTATCATCTTCAATGTAACGAAAGCCCAGGGCACTTTTCTTCTGCAGTAGACTGAATCAAGCAGCTGTTATCATCATCTGGTTGAGCCGCATCAAAGCGATCAAAGAGATGAAAACAAAAGTTGTATTCCTATTCTGTTTCTAACCTTACTTGTTGTGGGAGAAGGAACCATGTGTTACTGCACTCATTAGCTAGATCCCGAGAGGCGTTGCGGGTTATAAAAGAAAGCATGTGCTCGATCGAAGTGGGAATCGTTTCAACCCCTGTTTGCCGTCGTCGTTTATATTACAAGGACACAAACGTAAGTTTTTTTTGGTTTTGTTTCTTGTTTGCCCAGTCTTTTTTCGTATTTACAGTTGTAATTTCCTTTGTTTCTATTAGTTTTCGAAACCGTACAACGTTCGTTCAAGATTATAAAGTCCATTTTATAATTACAAGTACGCGTGTTCAATTTTGTGTTGTCGAACCGTTTTTATGCGTGCACAATAAGATTTACGAAAACTAAAGTAAAGGTTTTCCCCACCTATCAAAGCAACAGAAAATGAAGCACATAGAAAGAAGTGACCATGACTTCTTAATTTCTCAGTAATAACAGGACTTAATTTATTCCGCATAGATTGTTCTAAAGATATCTTTGCAAATTGTTTTTCGTCCAATGTAAACAATCACGGAAAGCTGAAGAAAAGGAGCAAAAAGGGCTTCTACTCAACTGCTCGACGGTTCGATTTGTCAACAGATCCTACGAGACGAAGACATAAAACAAAGTGGCCAGGAACGTAGGAGCTACAAAAAGGATGTCGAGGAATCCTTTGAAGATTTCGAAAAAAAGCGTATGTAACTTCTAAGCAAGAGTAAATGAACATTGGAACAAATAAACGTTAAACGAGTTTCTTTCAATTGATTTCCATCCAGTTATTTAGCATAAAAGCAACTTTTCTAAGACCAATTTTGGGAGAACAATTTCTTTGTTCTTCTTGTTTCGTAAGTATTTCAAAATTTCTGGCTCCTAATCTAAAAAAATTCTANACTCAAAAGCAGTTGTCATGAATATTCAGCTAGGGTAAGGGAGAAGACTTGCAAGTGATAGTTGCTAGAGCGATGTCTTATCCTCTTCACTGTAACGAAAGCCCTGGGCACTTTCCTTCTGCGGTAGACTGAATAAAGCAGCTGTTATCATCATCTGGTTGAGCCGCATCAAAGCGATCAAAGAGATGAAAACAAAAGTGGTATTCCTATTCTGGTATTCCCATTCTGTTTCTTGTTGTGGTGGAAGGAACCGTAAGTGTTACTGCACTCATCAGCTAGATCCCGAGAGGCGTTGCGGGTTATAAAAGAAAGCATGTGCTCGGTCGAAGTGGGAATCGTTTATATTATAAGGACACGAACGTAAGTTTTTTTTTTGATTTTGTTTCTTGTTTGTCCAGTCCTTTTGCGTATTTATAGTTGTAATTTCCTTTGTTTCATTTAGTTTTCGAAACCGTACAACGTTCGTTCAAGATTATAATGTCCATTTTATAATTACAAGTACGCGTGTTCAATTTTGTGTTATCGAACCGTTTTTATGCGTGCACAATAAGATTTACGAAAATTAAAGTCAAGGTTTTCCCCACCTATCAAAGCAACAGAAAATGAAGCACATAGAAAGAACTGACCATGACTTCTTCATTTCTCAGTAATAACAGGACTTAATTTATTCCGCATAGATGGTTCTAAAGACCTCTTTGCGAATTGTTTTTTGTCCATTGTAAACAGTCACGGAAAGCTGAAGAAAAGCAGCGAAAAGCGCTTCTAATCAACTGCTCGACGGTTTGATTTGTCAACAGATCCTACGAGACGAAGACATAAAACAAAGTGGCCAGCAACATAGGAGCTACAAAAAGGATGTCGAGGAATCCATTGAAGATTTCGAAAAAAAGGGTATGTAACTTCTAAGCAAGAGTAAATGAACATTGGAACAAATAAACGTTAAACGAGTTTCTTTCAATTGATTTCCATCCAGTTATTTAGCATAAAAGAAACTTTTCTTAAACCAATTTTGGGAGAACCATCTCTATGTTCTTCTTGTTTCGTAAGAATTTCAAAATTTCTGGCTCCTAATCTAAAAAAAATTATATTTAGTGCGGCATAACATGGGAAGGTCACTTCATTACCATTTTTTACAAAGAAGCGCAAAACCAACGCTCTATCTAGCACATACATACTGATCAATTTCGTGTGCTCTGAAGGCAGTAATCACCTGCATGCGCACTTAAAGTCAGATCAGGAAAAGAACAGTTACCTAGAAATGCACATGACAAATATACTTTGCAAATATACCACGATTTCTGCGCTGAAAGGTAATGACCGAGTCACTTTATCCAAGGTCTCAGTTTGGCAAAGTGCGTCATTTAAACTCAGGTGAAAGCAAACCAAACGTGTGTACAAAGAATGTGTATTTAATCAGCATTTGACATTAAAATTTCTCTATGATTTTCTTTATTCCCAGCGTCCTGTTTTTTTTTTTCGGGAAAATGTTTCCCGCTCTTTGTTTTTCTATTTTATACCATAAAAGCTGTAGATGAAAAAAATCATCTTTAGCCTCCGTTTTTATTCTTAAAAATGTTGTCGTCCGTCTGTTACCTTGGTTTCCACTGGCCCAGCGTATATTTCTAATTAGAGATCTAATTTTTTTTCTCATAAAAACCGTAGTTAGGTTTTTAAAGTGTTTTGGCATCGAAGCAGGATAATTTATTATTTTTGTTTCCCGAATGATAAAGAGAGATGACAAATGAAGGGTAAGCACGTCTGTTCTACAAATGAGTCTGCAATTTTATCATAAATTTGCTACTATATCGGCTAATACTTTGAAATCACCCTACAGTATCTGAATCTAAAATTTTGTCTCAGTTGAGAGAAAAATGAACCCAATAGGAGAGGAAAACATAAAACGGTTGCATTAAAGCCTCAAAGTTAATTAAGTAGAGTCATATTTACAAACGGCTGGACGAAGTGTTGGTCACCCTAATTGTGCATTATCATCATTTTACTTGGAAAAGCAAAGAAGATGACATGCAAACAATATTTGGAGCCGTGTGTTTTTATTTTTGGCAGCCCAAGCCCCTGCAAAAGCTCAACTAAAAACTTACAATGAAACAGGTGTTACAGTTTATGTTATTAGTTAGTATTGATGCAATCCATTATCTAACCTTTCCTGTTAATTCATGGTTCTAAAACGTCTTGGAAATGCCTTTAAACTTGCACTACAAAACAGCAATGAAGAATTGTTAGGATCCTTAAAGTTGACACTGACGAATCTAAACCTATTTCGGGTAAATATCTTAAGCAAAGTAAGGTGGTAATTAAAAAACGAGTAATAACTTTCAAATAACTTTGAAAGCTTATCAAAGATTCGGACGCCAAATTTTGTTAGAACCGAATACTTTATGATTACGTTGCATTCTAAAAATTCGTTCGATGTGGAGTGATTTTGTTGGCTTTTGAACAATCTATGGTATTCCTTTATTTCAAAATCTAAATGACTTTAAAAAAATGAATGAAAAAGAAAAAACAGATATGAAAATAATGAAAGATAAAATAAGTAAAAAAGTCGAAATAGAAAAATCCTTGATCACTGAAGAAAGTGACGTCGATCCATGGGACTTGACCATGCACGGCAGAGGGGAGGGGGTAGAATATTCAGAGCAGTGTTATCATATGGCAAGGTCTGATGCAACGCTCTAAACGAAAAACATAGTCATTCTTGTCGGGAAACCTAAAACACAAGTGTTATCATGTTCTGTGCTTTGTTCACGTGTCGACTTCTAGGTTAGAAAGCAGTGAACACAATTGGATAAGAAAAAGGAAAAACAAACCCGGATCAGAGACCTGGAGCGTTTATCTAAGAGCCTTTTAAATGATTTGGTTCAACCTGAACTGAATTATGATCAATCAAATTGTTTTAGTTATGTTATGTATTTGTCGCCGTCACCTTTTTCCGACGAGTAGCCAGACAGGCGCCTAATTAGGAGAGAAAAAATTGACAGATGACTTACCAGTATTTGCTTAAAGTTAATTACTTAGAACTCATTATTCTCTCCCTATTCCAAGGGGAATTGATGTGAATTTGAAACGTTGCTTAACAAACAGAGAAACAGATGCTCGATGACATTTCCTCTATATTAGCCCAAGCACTTTTCAGCGGCATCAAACTGACCTAGCCAGGCACCTTCATCTGAATGAAACTCTGCAAAGGGATGAAATCAAGAGTGATGTTCGGTATTCTGTTCCTGCTCTCTGTGTTCCTTATCCAAGGATCTAAGGGGATAGGATTATCCCATTGTCATGGGGTAAGTACCGTGGACACGTACAGCCACAATGCAGGCTGGTAAATTCAGCTCAGTTAGATCCAGGAAACCCTTCGCCGCGTTCTCCTCGAAGCAGTGGAGTCAGTCAAATTGGGTCAAGCATTAACCAAACGCACTCAAAAATCGTTTAAACTTTGACAATGGAATGTATTTCTGAGTCAGTAGCACGTTGTGCATTTTTCTTCCTTTGTAGTGTGCGGAAAAACTGAGAGAAAGGCGCGAAAGACAGGTCTGCCTAACAGCGCGACGGCTGGATTGTGAACAGATGCTGCGAGATGGAGAGACCAAGAACCAAATGACTAGCGACTTGGGGTTACAAATAAAAGGAGACGTTGATTAAAAACATAGTGCATAACAATGTAACTGTGAAATGAACTACAGCTCGATTGTTTTTGTAACTTGAACCTCATTGTCGTTTTACCCAAATTAAACGAGCCCTTAACGATTCTTATTGTGGGTTATTTTACCTTAGACCTTGTTATCGTACTAGGACAGCAAAAAAGTAGTTTATGTGTTGGTCTTGAATTGCAGATAAACTTTAAATATTCTGTTCTGTTCTGTAATAATCGCCGCTTTTTTATAACCACAGGTCTGTAATTCCATCGATTCGAAATAACCCTTCGAATTCGCAAGTTTATACGCTGAGAAAGAATCAAAAATATGATTAGAGAACGCGAAACAGTTTTCAATCCTTAAAGCGTGTGGTTCTTAGGATGAATTTGACCACCTTAGCGACTCACGACTTTAGAATGTGCGGGTACGATTTGTTCACCGTTGTAGAAAAGCCCACCTGAAATAAAACATTTGAGATTGAAGATAGCCATGTCAAATAATAATGTCTGATAATTGCTTAGCTTAGCTCATCACAGAATTTTTTGTGTCCCAGTAGACAAAGCTTCGGAGCGGTTGTGGACTCAAAATTTTATTCTTTGTCTCTTGCTCGAGAAAACGCAATTAACATTTCTCATTTTAGGTATTCTTTCGCTTGTTATCTTCCCTTTATAGTTGCATAATTACAACCCAGCTGTTTACCGGTAAAAAAAACCCAGCAGTTTATTAAGTCATAAGTGGATGGCACGATTAGTGAAATAGTCGCACTACTGAGAGCCAATCAGATTGGTTGGATTACTAGTGATTTCAAAATGGATTTATTAAAACTGATTACAGTCGAACCTGTATAAGAGGGCACTGTATTAAGGGGTCACTATGTATCAAGCGGTCGGTTGTCAAAGTACCGAAGTTGCTTTCCTTGATCAAAGTAGTTTTCACCTCTATTAAGTGGTCACTCTTTTCTCTGTCCCAAAGGCCTGTTTGCAGTGGCGGATCCATGGGGAGGATCCGGGTAGACCGGACCCCTCATAACAGATCTGACGTTTACAACTTTGAAATTGAAATTCTTACATCGACAGGATCGTATATCACTTTTTAACTGGCTGATCTTTTTAATGAAGCCAAGTAAACGATAAGCGGCCAAGGAATTATAACGTGCAACCGCGACTGGTGGGAGGGGGTGTGGGGGGTGTGGAGGAGAAGTAATTTTGCCTCAAAAGAGTCCAACAGTCCTTTCTGAACCAAAGTTTGGACCCCCCCAATCAAAAATTACTGGATCCGCCCCTGGTAAGTTTTCCACCTGGATCAAACGGTCACTTCCAGCAGAACCACTCAAATAAAACCAGGAAGAATCTGTCAAATAACTCTTAATCCAAGTTTCTCTCCCAAAATCAAAGTAAGTATTATTTTTTCTGCATATTTAAGTTGTCAATTATGGCAGTTGTGTATCGTTTGTTATAAAAACCCCCAATCTGTGGAACCGGTAGTTAGCGGTTGACCTATATTAAGTGGTCATCACCCCACTCCCTCGCGGCGAACATAACGATTATCTTTGTGATACCGAAAGTTTTTTAAAAGAGCTATCAATTTATTTCGGCAAACAACTGGTTTGTAGTTATGCAATTGTATCTGCATCAAGAAGACGGAAGATAACATGCAAAGGACAACCAAAGCGAGAAATGTTAATCGTGTTCTCTCGAGTAAGAAACAAAGAAAAGACCATGATTCTATGTAAAGAGTCGAATCAATCACCTTCGGATTCCGCGCCCCGCTGCTCTACTACCGGGATACAGAAAAACTCTGTGGTGAGCAATTACCAAGTTCACTTGGCTTGCATACTATGAGAATATGGAATGCCGTTTGCTTAGTGTGAGTTAAATAGATTGAGAGAGATGGTAAAATTGGAGCGCGGTAATGGAACGGAGAGAAGTGCTTTTCTTCTCGTGAGAAGATTTTGCCGAAGATACCACCTCCATTAATTTGATGGAAAATTAAAATGATTAGACATGAAGGAAAAACATTTGGTGAATTTCTAAGGGAGAGCCCTAAAGCCATGTCTACCCAAATATCTTGTTCGTTTGGTTTATCATTTCAACAGAAAAGAGAATTTTCACCAAGATTTTCTGAGAGAGAAATCATTTTTCCTTTATGTTCATTGAGTGACTTATACATATCTCACCTTCAACAGTCAAAGGTGGCTCAAACGAATACCATACCTTCATCATTAGAAGGATTGTTCGGTCAAGAGCCGGAGATGATATTACCTTATGTCATATGACTGGCCCAGCGCTAACATCCTCTCCACGGGAATAAAAGGCTAAAGTGAACGAATTAAAGCACGAAGTTTTCCTTTTCTCTTAGTCCATTTTCGTTCTTTTTTTTTAATTGATATTTTTAAAGTTGGATATTTCTTTTTAACTTAAACGATCATGTAATCTATAAGCTGCTAATCAGGAAAATAAATGACCTGTCTTGAATTGGAAGAAAATTAGGGAACAATAGTGATCGAAATGTGACATTAGTGTCCGANCAAATATGCTAGTTTTAAGAACATCAAATTTCCAAGGGGCAACTATCAGACCGATAGTTCCGAGACATAAACACTCTATTGTTTTTATTGTTCACCACTAAATTTTCTTCCGCGCCTACAGCTTGTCACAAATGTCAATAATTCGCAACCGTACATTGGCTAAATAATACGTTATACCTGTCAGAATTGAAAAGTCACTGTTTTTCCGATCTGCCTAACTTCGCGGCCGTCAAACTATTCAAAACTTTTCACGGATGAGTACTATCAATCCAGGTATTTTCCGCGGACGGGTACGATCCATCCGGGTATTTTCCGCGGGCGGGCGCTATGGGCTGATGGCGTCTGTCCACGAATGAACACTATCGCGTCACGTGATCGATTAAAACCAATAAGAACCGGAGAAAATTTAGTGGTGAACTATAATGGACGATAGTGTTCAGAATGTGACAGTGGTATCTGAAATCGCGTAGATGTATTTAAAATAGGACAATGGAGTCCAAGAGCAAGAAACGGTACCTAAAATCAGACTTGATTGCCAAGTGTGACAGATGACACGTTAGGTGTAGTGTATTGATTATGCATGTACCTATCCTAATAATTGACAACAGCCTTAGTAAGGTTTCTAAGGTGAGAACTTTGTACTTCATTTAGTAAATGTACTACTCGCAGTAATCCTACTGTGCTGGAAATATTTGCATGCTGTAAAATTACTATAAGTCAGTAAACTCTTCTACTTCTATATGTGTAACGTGTTTGTTAGTGAAGTTCAGTTAGCCTTTGGCAATGAAAGAGAAACAGTCTCTTTGTGTCTGAACGACGACACTACAAACTGGCGACGAGGATTACGCTGTCGAGAACGCTACAGAGGAACGTAGCGACGACGAGACCCTAGAAAACAGTGGTGAAGAACCTGTAGAACATAGCAGCAACGAGGCCGTAGAAGAAATGGACCGGCTGTCCTTGCCACTGCCACCGCCTTTTAAAATCGAGGCATCCGACCTGTACAGTGAGTGGACCCACCGGCTGAGCTCATTTGAAATCTACGCTGTCGCGTCGGATCTACAAAAGAAGTCAGATGCAGCTTAGAGAGCGACTATGCTGCACTGCCTTGGCTCCACTGTTCAGCGGATATTCATCACTCTTGGGCGAGAACACTACCCTTGCAGTCACCAAGGACGCGTTGAATGGCTATTTTGCCCCCAAGCGAAACGTGGTTGCGGAACGGTACGAGTTCCGTTCTCGCGCGCAACAGCCAGAAGAGTCGATCGACGCATATCTCACAGCGCTCTGGGAACTGGCGAAGTCCTGCGATTTCGCTGCTCTGGACGAAGAGAGGATCAGAGAACAAATCGTCGAGTGATGTTACTCGAAATCGCTGAAGTAGGGATTACTGTAACAGGAGAGCCTAGACCTCCAAAAGACGATAAAACTCGCACTGAGCGAAGAGAGCACCATGCAGGAGAAACGCTTACTGTCGAGGGGCAGGCGAGATAACCCAATAAAGATTTTGTTTATCTTTATTTATAAACGATATGTATGAAAGCTAAAAGCTTGTGGGGTCGTGTAGAAAAAATACTACTGAATTAAAATCAAATACCGGCTAAACATTAAATAGAATCAAAGCAAATTAAAGCGTATTGAATGCCATAAGTGCGACACTGAAACAATTAATTTACATTTAGATGTATACAAAATCTTCAAGTTCAAAACTTGCAGTCGATTCTGATACTACGTTGAATTTAACGGCCTTGAAAATTTCTGAAGTTTTGAGTTTTTTGGCAAGTTCATGATGGCTTGCATCAACAAGATCAGTAAATTTGGAATTCAGGGTATTCCAAAGCACAGAGCCTCTATATGCAACAGAGTCCTTCATAAAACGTGTGTTAAAACGTGGCACCGTTAATGAATCGCCTGCTCTAATTGAGTATGAAAGATTACACCTCTTCGCAATGCAATTACTTAAGGCGCTAGGCAGCCTTCCGTTATAAGCCTTATGTATGCATTTTAAAACAGCTAGTTTATANGGCCGTACTGAGGATTATTGGCCCGAAATTGTAGTAGTACGGAGTGAGCACAGCGAGGTCCGTACAAAAATGACCGAGGGACAATATTTCCCAATACTGCTCAAGCAAGTGATGTTACTAAGTAGTTTATCACGGCGTTGGGGAAAACATCTTTACTTTTAATTTTTCGGCTTTTTCGAACAAAAATAACTTTCTAGCTAACCCTTTTGTCAGGTTTTCGTTGTAAAACATTATCATTTCGAGGAAGATTACCAAAATGTTGCAAAGCGCTAGTCTAGGCATACTGCCAAAATAGCGCGGCACGTTGTTCCGAATTTTCTTTAAATTTGTGGTTTGTTTACAGAAACTTATCGTGTCAGCCTTCTTAATTAGAGGCTGTGCGAAGACAAACGAGCAGTTGCCACAAAGAATAACTTCTTACTAACTAAGCCACGCAAGGGCCGTACTGAGGATTATTGGCCCGAAATTGTAGTAGTACGGAGTGAGCACAGCGAGGTCCGTACAAAAATGACCGAGGGACAATATTTCCCAATACTGCTCAAGCAAGTGATGTTACTAAGTAGTTTATCACGGCGTTGGGGAAAACATCTTTACTTTTAATTTTTCGGCTTTTTCGAACAAAAATAACTTTCTAGCTAACCCTTTTGTCAGGTTTTCGTTGTAAAACATTATCATTTCGAGGAAGATTACCAAAATGTTGCAAAGCGCTAGTCTAGGCATACTGCCAAAATAGCGCGGCACGTTGTTCCAAATTTTCTTTAAATTTGTGGCTTGTTTACAGAAACTTAACGTGTCAGCCTTCTTAATTAGAGGCTGTGCGAAGACAAACGAGCAGTTGCCACAAAGAATAACTTCTTACTAACCAAGCCAATCAAGGGCCGTACTGAGGATTATTGCCCCAAAATCGTAGTAGTACGGAGCGAACGCAGCGAGGTCCGTACAAAAATGACCGAGGGACAATGTTTCCCAATACTGCTCAAGCAAGTGATGTTACTGAGTACTTTTTCATGGCGTTGGGGAAAACGTCTTTACTTTTAATTTTTTGGCTTTCGCGAACAAAAATATACGGCTTATAACCACTTCCGCGGAAATGGTCCGTATAGCAAAATCCAGACCAAGTACTGAAGAACTAATCAGAAAGCTCGGATTTACCCCAAGACTGTCCAGCCATATAGTAAGTTGTTATAGCCTTCAAGCTCGAAGTATTTTCATCAATTGTTTATTTTCTCACCGAGATTTTTTGTTTGAAAATACATGTCCTCGCAACTTTTTACCTCGTGCTTGCGTTTTTCTGTTAGAAATTCATTGAAGAGAAAAGAGTCACACATGATCGCAAGTTTGTTTTATTTTTAAAGGTGTGGTCGTTAACTCAATCGAATTAGTTTTGCTTAGCGGCTAAATGACACTCCTTTTTTAGATTTTGACGTTAAAAAAATATTGAATTGGTGTCAGTGACGTTATGCACCGATTAATCGCAGCTTCAACATCTGGGGAAACCCACAGGCTTTTCGATTGTCATCCTTTGAACCTTACCTGGGTGGGGTAGGAAATTTGAACTGGAAGTGTCAAGTCTTTCCAGTGGAATACTGGTTGTTTACTTAAAGCGTATGGCTCAGAATGTAGGGTTTATAAGGTCTAGGTTTTGGAGCTTTAAAGTCAAATCAATTGCTGGTCGTGCCTTTCACAAAATATGTGACAATGAAAAGAGGGTCTCAATGGAAAGATGGCTTTCGCGACTAACGGTTACATTTTTTTGGCCATTTTACACGATTAAGATTTGTCAATTTTATGCCTAACGGCTAAGTTTTCGCTGTTTTACGGCTAATAGTTAACCCCACTGAGAACCATTAAGATCTAACGCCTGAGCAGGGCATTTGAACATGATTTTGGCCCAGGGGGCCGGAACTAATCTTCAAAAGTTAAAATTCCCGAGGGGAGGCGATGCTGAAACCCTCGACCTGTCATCTGTTTGATAATGACCGAGAAAAACCACGCCACAGCAATTTCTTCTTTCACCCACGACTGGGTCTAATGATTTTCCGTTTAAAGTAGTTACCATTGAGGTTTTCAATGGAGTGGGGGTGAGTCTTCCAACAGGTGTATCTCTGCTTTTCAATGAAACACTCTTCCAAGGTAACTTCTTCTATATTATCTAATGGGAAAGTTCTTTAAAAGTGTTATTCTTGCGGCCGTAAAAACCGTAAGAAGGGAACAATCAAATGTGTTTTTGTGATTGGAAATTTTTCGACCTTGCGTGACAAACGCTTGAGTATGTTGAATTCCTAGTAATATCAGATTGCTTCCCGTCTTCAACGTCTTCCGCGAAGACCATTTTCTACCGTTATAAATGATTGAATTGTCCTTTTTCAAGTCCACAATGAAGCTCAAGTTTTCCCTGAAACTTTCCTAAGACTTATAGGTGTTCGAATACGCAAAGAAAAACAGACGCCCTCTGCCAGCTTACGGAATGTGTTATTGTGAACAGTTTCGCCATGAGAAATGGATGAGGATTTAAAACGAAAGCAGGGATAAAAACCAATCTATCGTGGTTAGCTACGCAAGGCTAGCTTACTGTATTGATTTCCTGATCGAACACGGTGCTAACTTCTAAAATGTACTTGGAATTCCGGTTTTAACCACGGGGTGCCTAATTAGATTGTGTCGTGACGTAATTGACGATGTTGTGATTTTCACAAAGTTCAGCCTGGTTTTTCCGTGCGGAATTGTAAAGCTCCAAACTAATTTTTATATCCTCGAAAACAACACTATTTCCACTTATCATGAGCATAACCTGAAGAGATTCTGAGTTATACCGCATGGGGAAAATGATAATTTAAAATTTGCTATGAGCGATATTAAGATTTTGAAATATTGGTGATCTTTCATAGCGTTCCGTGATGTCAAAATTAAATGAAATGGTCCCGTTTTAGACTTAAGTCATACCTCAATCCCTCCTAAACAAATTTTTCAAATTGATACGAGCTTGCTTTTTTTTGCGCTTTTCATGAGCAGAGCTCATTTGCCACTGCTCGGGGCACTGATTTCCGCCATATTACGGCTACCGACGCTCGTTTCGGTTTTCGTGAATTTTCTAGGATAAAGAAACAAGTCTGGGAAAATAAACCTTAACACGTTGCTAGGTTCACTATAAGGTATCTCTAGGCAAAATATGAAGGTTTTCAATTTTTCGATCATGTGCCCCATTTTTCGATTTTCGCTCGGTCAATTCAAACATTCACTCTTAATGTGTAACCGATATTTTGACGTCAAGCTCCGGAAGGGTGATAGTGTTGACAACACAGTTCTGTATGTAATTGAAGGTCACGGCGAATCCCTCCTTGGAAGGGTCTCTAGTTTTGATTTAGGAATACTTAAACAAGTAAACTCAGTTGGGAGCCCACTCAAAGCAATAGGCAAAGCAAACTAGTATCTATGCTTGACGAATTTGATAATTTGTTCCATAGGCTGGGGAAAGTCCCAAATTTCGAGCATAAAATTGTAATAGATCCCAAAGTTCAACCTGTCAGTCAGCATTTAAGGCGCATTCCGCTTAGCCAAACTGAAGCTGTCAACAATGAGCTTGATAAAATGCTCGAAGCAGGTGTCATTGAAGAGAATAGGAAGCCAGTCCTTGGGTTTCTAACTTAGTTGTAATACCGAAAAATTCGGGCGACACAAGACTGTGCTGTGATCTAAGAGAGGTCAATAAGGCAGTCATAAGGGGACGTTATGTTTACCTAAGGTAGATGACACTTTGCAAGCGATGCATAGCTCTAGGTACTTCGCGAAAGTAGACGTAAAGAGTGGTTTTTATCAGCTTACGTAAGCTGAGGAATCTCGTTATGTTACAACGTTTTATCACGCCACGTGGTTGTTTTCGGTTTAAGCCTACTCCCTTTGGCTTTAGCGATACAAGCGAGGCGTTTCAAAGAAAGATGGAGCAAATCCCGTTCGGAATTACAGGAGTCCGAATTTCTATCGATGACGTGATAGTTCACGCGGCGACAATGGAGGAACTTGTCAGTCGACTCCGTAAGGTTTTCGAGCGATGTTGCGAGTACAATCTCAAGTTAAATTGTAGCAAATGCGAGTTCGGAGTGAGTCAAATTTCGGTTGTAGGCCATATCGTATCCGCTGACGGCTTAGTCCGACCTGAAAACCGATGCCATCAAGGGAACACCTCCGCCGTCAAACGTTTCAGATCTTCGATCTTTCCTTGGAACCTGTTGTTATGTTGCCAATAAAGTTCATTCCAAACTATGGGAATATAGCCCAGCAATTTTGAAGACTCACTCGAAGAGGAGAGAAGTGGTGTTGGGGAGCCGATCAGAACAAGGCGTTCAACGCCTTAAAGGAAGAATTAGCGGGCGAGACGGTCCTCGCTTGTTTCCGTTTAGATGCTCCCACATACGTAGTTACCGATGCTAGTCCAGTCAGTTTAGGCGCTATTTTGCTACAACATCAGCAACAGGGCGAGCGCAAGCCATAACTTATGTAGGTCGATCGTTGACTCCGACAGCAAAGAGGTATTCGCAAACTGAGCCCGAAGCTTTGGGAGGTGTATGGGCAGTCGAACGTTTGCATAACTACTTATTTGGTATACAGTTCACGCTCTTGACGGACAATAAACCTCTTTCCAGCATGTTCAAAATTTTGCCACCGCGAATCCAATGTAACGTCTTGCTTGGAGATTGCACCAGTATAGTATCCAAATTCAACACATTTCGGGCAATGTTGTTACCACTAGGGCAGGAAGAGTAGTTAAATCAACAAGGGAAAATGAAAAATTTATTTACTACTAATTAAACTGATTAATTGTTAAAATAATTTCTCAACGTTAGCCGGGAAGGATGTCATGAGTGTATTGATTATACATGTACCCACCTTAATTATTGACAAAAGCCTTAGTATGGGTTCTAAGGTGAACACTTTGTACTTAATTCGGTAAATGTACTACTCGCAGTAATTCTACTGTGCTGGAAATACATGCATGCTGTAAAATTACTATAAGTCAGTAAACTCTTCTACTTCTATATGTGTAACGTGTTTGTTAATAAAGTTCAGTTAGCCTTTGGTAATGAAAGAGAAGCAGTCTCTTTGTGTCTGAATGACGACACCAGGGCCAAAAGTGAAGGTGTCCATTTTACATCGAATTCCTTATCGTGAGAAGTTTTCTAGTGAGGTTTGTGGGAAACAAAGTTTATGCTAATTTTTCGGTTATTTACTTTCCAAAGTTCAATTTATTGCAACAAGATGTATCCCATGGCTGCAATGCGTTGTACTTCATTATCTGCATTAGATTCAGCTTCGTTTCCGCAAGATTTAGAGTCATCTGGGCTTCCGCCTGTACCAAATCCGATTCTGGAATCGCTACTATCGCAGTCATTCTCATTGTTTCCTAGAATGCCAATTCTTGTCTTAGAACGGTAACTAAGTGAACCAAAGACATTGAATCCTTCCTTGTTGCAGTTAGCTTGTAATGAGGCCTGAGAACCAATCAGCGTCTTCCACTTGTCACGACCCAGTGACGTGTCGCGGTATTGACCATCAGCGATCAGTGAGTACAGCGAATCCGATTGAATTTTGATAACAATGAAACTGAGCTGTTCGGCGATCTTCATACCAAGACAGATCTTAGAGAAAGAAGTGTTCCAATAGGTCGGTAGCTTTGTTTCTTGCAAATCAAACCCAGTCTCTGCACCAGAAAGGTTGTAGTCATTTGTATCAGTCCAATAGTGGGAGGAATAATGAAACGTGGTCTGGCAAAAGAAACAATGTAACAGCTGTAAAAGGTTAAGTCTGACGACCTCATAGAGTTTGTGGCTTTCTGTAGTATGCGTCGGCTACTGAGGGCATTGCTTCTTGTTACGCTGCCTGGAGTTTATTCTATTTCAAAATGTTTTGTGCCCCCAACCAACTCTGCCTCAGAAATCCTTGGGTTTCCCTTAAGGTAGCTGGTGCCTAACTCCTAAAGAAGGAACACACTAAGGCGTCCTGTCCTATAACTAGGAATCATTCAAGAAGCGAGTTCTCAGGTTAAATGACGTCAGTGTAAAATGCAAAATCAGTCTCGTAACTGTTGGAAAATGGTAATCACCCATAACATATAAGAAGTTGTAAAATGAAACCTTATTTCCGTCAATTTTCATAACTGGCGTCCATCCTCCATCTCCACATCCAAAATCGCCCATGTGGCAGAGGACAGGAGTTGGGTTTGCACCANGGTTATTTACTTTCCAAAGTTCAATTTATTGCAACAAGATGTATCCCATGGCTGCAATGCGTTGTACTCCATTATCTGCATTAGGTTGAGCTTCGTTTCCGCAAGATTTAGAGTCATCTGGGCTTCCGCCTGTACCGAATCCGATTCTGGAATCGCTACTTTCGCAGTCATTCTCATTGTTTCCTAGAATGCCAATTCTTGTCTTAGATCGGTAACTAAGTGAACCAAAGACATTGAATCCTTCCTTGTTGCAGTTAGCTTGTAATGAGGCCTGAGAACCAATCAGCGTCTTCCACTTGTCACGACCCAGTGAAGTGGCGCGGTATTGACCATCAGCGATCAGTGAGTACAGCGAATCCGATTGAATGTTGATAACAATGAAACTGAGCTGTTCGGCGATCTTCATACCAAGACATATCTTAGAGAAAGAAGTGTTCCAATAGGTCGGTAGCTTTGTTTCTTGCAAATCAAACCCAGTCTCTCCACCAGAAAGGTTGTAGTCATTTGTATCAGTCCAATAGTGGGAGGAATAATGAAACGTGGTCTGGCAAAAGAAACAATGTAACAGCTGTAAAAGGTTAAGTCTGACGACATCATAGATTTTGTGGCTTTCTGTAGTATGCGTCGGCTACTGAGGGCATTGCTTCTTGTTACGCTGCCTGGAGTTTATTCTATTTCAAAATGTTTTGTGCCCCCAACCAACTCTGCCTCAGAAATCCTTGGGTTTCCCTTAAGGTAGCTGGTGCCTAACTCCTAAAGAAGGAACACACTAAGGCGTCCTGTCCTATAACTAGGAATCATTCAAGAAGCGAGTTCTCAGGTTAAATGACGTCAGTGTAAAATGCAAAATCACTCTCGTAACTGTTGGAAAATGGTAATCACCCATAACATATAAGAAGTTGTAAAATGAAACCTTATTTCCGTCAATTTTCATAACTGGCGTCCATCCTCCATCTCCACATCCAAAATCGCCCATGTGGCAGAGGACAGGAGTTGGGTTTGCACCAATATGAAGGGTGGTCAGCTGACTTGTGTTGGGCCTAAAGTATTTAAAGTGTTACAAAAATGCATGGCGGTTAATTCTAGAAAATGGCATATAATTACATAAAGAGTTCACTTTAGGCTTCAATTATCGTCTAAGCAGCTTGTCCTAATTGATAAGGTAGATAATATGCCGGAAATTTCAATACCAGTCAAACAAACTCAGTGGACTGTTACTTACTTTAATGTGGAACTAAAATCCTTGCAAGACATCGCAGCTGGAAAAGACAGTCAGTTGTAACGATTAAATAAGTCTGACTATCCAATTGACCACTTTCATAAATGGCTGCCG